ACTACATTCCCTTGTATGTCTTTGATTTAAGAAATAAAATATTTGTGGATTTGTCATAGTCCTTTATGATAATTCTGGCACTAATTAACAAGTTTGGAATATAAAATGCCCTGGGTACTCCTTTAGATTTTGGGTCCGATAATATGTAAAAGGAAAAAAGCATGCGCAGATTTTAACTTGCAATATTTGCTTTCATAATTCAGGTATCTCTTTCCAAACGCTTAAGGCTTCCAGGTAGCAGCCGGACTTCACAGGCACAAGATCTTCATCAGCAGTTGTGGCGAATTCATAAAGATGAATTTATGGGTTCGATTGCAATTATGAGGTATTCAAATTTTTTCATGTGTTATTATCTCCATCTGAAGTACATATCTTTGTCCAAGCGTAATTTACTCCTGCTTTGGTTTTGAAGATACAACCTCATACAACTATTTCTGCAAAATGAGCAGAGTTCTCATCTGAGGAAGATGATAGTTGATCTGGAGGTGAATGCTCTACTTAAGTATGAAATTTGATTTGCAGCTCCTCAGCCACAGCCCTCTTTAATGAATGAGAAGAAAATCTTACCTTTGAAATTCCGCAGGTGCCTAGGTTTGATAGTGGATGTCAATTTAGTCAAGACCCTGCCATCTCATACATTTGGTCAGAGAAAAACTTGAATGACGATCAGCGCCGAGCCATACTTAAGGTGAAAAGTTATAGAAACTCTCTATAATTGGGTTTATATCTGCACCTGCAAATCAAAAGTATTGTGTATTATCAGAATCTTAATTGGATAAACCAGATACAAAGCAAAATTTACAGCATTCGAGTTGTCAGAACCCTCAACCATATCAAACTGTCAGAATTGTATTGTGAATTATCAGAACAGCGTCATATATAATTGTCATTAATGCAGATACTTACGGCAAAGGATTATGCGCTGATACTAGGAATGCCAGGGACAGGCAAAACATCCACTATGGTCTATGCTGTGAAGGCGCTGTTGATGAGAGGTTCATCCATTTTGCTTACCTCCTATACAAACTCAGCTGTTGATAATCTGCTTCTCAAACTGAAGGCTCAGGTCTCCATCCTTGATGCTTCTATTAGAAACTTATTGCTTTGATCTTTATTTAACTACTACGCTGTATCTCAAAAATTTAGAAGGTATAAGCTGTAGAACTGGTGTCAACATAGTATAAAATTCTTGCTTTAAATTATCTTGGGAAAGCTAGATTTAGCAAACTGAAGAAATCTATATTTGGTACAAGGTAGGCATAGGAGTTGATGTGTAGCATTAGATGAAACTGGTTGATTTAAGAAGGGCCTACTATGGCAACTACACTAGCTGCTTCTACTGGTATTAGTATTACATCATTATTTCCTCTTTATCCTTCGATCATTTAGAAGCATACACCTCACATTTTACTACCTCAAATAACCTGAAATAAATTCTAGCACAAAGCTGCTTGGTGGTAACTCCATCGAATAAAATCCTTTTTGAATCACCAAATTGTCGCATTCATTGAAATCACTTCCTCCACTTGTGAGAATTTGATGCATATGCAATGTGGTCAGTGAATGGGCATTAAGGAGTATCTCCAGCTGTCATTTGAAGCTCTGCTGGAAGTATGTGTTCTCTCATGGAGTAAGGGGTTGAAGGAGCCATCAAGGAATTGGATATCCCTTTAGAAAAGGCTGGAAGACCCTTTTAGATGCGAAATTCTTTGTTTTTTTCTCACATGCTTCCCGTTGGTCAATGACCAACCAAGGTGCTCTATACTTCTTCACTACTTGTAAAGCGTGATGTATGATTCATTGACTTTTAATTTAATAAAAGTAGACATTCAAATTGCGAATGTCTAGCTATTTAATGGATAAGGGAATAGATTATAACTGTTAAGCTAAACTCAGTTCAATCTTGTAGAAAGAACAACTCAAACTTAGGCATTCAACTGTTAGATATAAACCGTAAACCTATATTTTTAAAATATATAATTTGTCACGCCCCAAACTTGGGCCTGGACGTAACACGACACTCGGTGCCTGACTACATGTGACCGAGCGAACCAACTAGCTGGCTGAATCAACATGTGGTATCATAACATACTGAATGCGGAAGATAAACTAACACATGCTGATATACTGAAAGTCTGGATGATATAAATCATAGTCCGGAAATACTAATACAATTCTGAAACATAGCCAACATAGCTTAACATGAAAAGCGTGAGGCTCTGTCTAACTGTTACTCTAGTCTATGAAGCCTCTAATGAAGTACTGAAAACGCTAACTGTCTGAAGATACTGAAGACTGTAGTAATGATAATGCCCCGAAAGAACTGGGGATCACCAAATAGCTGGTACGAGAATCCTAGCGCTCTGAATCGTCAACCTGTAAATCATTACCTGCATCGTGAGATGCAGGCCCCGGGCAAAAGGGACATCAGTACATTTGAATTGCACTGGTATGTAAAGCAACTGAAAGAAAGAGCTATAAATGCTGAAACTGACGACTGACGACTGACGACTGACGACTGACGACTGACGACTGACGACTGACGACTGACGACTGACGACTGACGACTGACGATAACTGACGATAGCTGATAATTGACGATAATTGATTAACTGATTAACTGATAACTCATAACTGATAACTCATAACTGATAACTCATTACTCATAACTCATAACTGATAACTGAACAAAGGAAGTAAGGATATGAATACTCCCTCTTCTGAATAATGAACAACCTGTTTATCTAAATATTAAACTGCGGCCTCAGGCCCAATATATATATGTGCACAAACTGCGGCCTCGGGTCCAAGTATACGTATACATAACTGCGACCTCAAGTCCAAAATGCATAAAGCATAAACTGCAGCCTCAGGCCCAAAGATGCATAAAGCATAAACTGCGGCCTCAGGCCCAAATACAAGTGTTCAACATCCAGGAACTGAGAATCATACTGCAATACATGATAGTGAAATACTGAATTACACCGAGTTACATGATACTGGATTACTGGATCACACTGAGTTACATAATACTGGAATACTGAATGGGACTAGACTGCGACATGTATTCTGGACTGATTATGAACACCGAAACTTCAACTGTTTATGGCATACTGAGTAATCTATACTAAGACTCGGGGGCATCAAACCCAAGTCTATATTGAATACGCACTGAGCTCACAACGTTCAGAACGAAAGTCATGAACGAGTTATGAAGCTAAAGAATAGAAGTTCTGCAACTATTCAAGGAACTAAGCTTAACTATATTTTTGAGGCAATTAGTAACGTCGTAAAAGAAACGTAGTGTAGGGAGAATCATTAACATTCCCAAACATAGAGAGTTAGCCTCACATACCTTAACTTCCTGTCCTTGAGCGTAATACAACATTCGCCAACCCTTTCAACTTTAATCTATATCAATACAAGTCAAAGGGATTCAAAATTAGCAACAATACCCATGTTTTGGTCACTTAGGCATTTTATCAAACACTTGGTGGCATAAAGCTTCATAGCCCTTATTAATGGTGTCTCTACACCCAATAACCCATTCTCTTGCTTCTAGATAAATTCTAAAGTCTCAAATGGTTATAATCAATATTATTCTTTATCACACATAAGGTAAACAACACCCTTAACCAATAATCAACAATCAACAACCCAAACCTATAACCGTTCATGCTTTTCTATCAAACCCATCAACTCATATCTCATGAACTAGAGTCTATAATCATTAATTCAATGATAGAATCAATTAGAGGGTGAAAGATATTACCTTTTCGACGTTCAATCTTCTTGAATTCGAGTTCTAGGGTTTCTTCTCTCAACAATGGTGTCCCAATCGAATATTTAATGATATAGAGGGTTTACCGATGTTAATAAGGTGTTGGGAATTGAAATAAACTTAGAATGGCCATTAGAACTTACCTTGGATGGTGGAGGGACCTTTATGGAGTTAGGTTTTTGAGAGCTTTCCTTTCTAGAGCAAGTTTTTATGTTTTGGGGCCGTGGGGGACGAAATAGGGCTAAAAAAACGACTTCCCAAGTTGGCCACCGCGTCCCAGTAGGCCCGACCGCGGTAAATCGCTGGAACACTGCCTCACGACCGCGGTCGCGGTCAAACGCGGCCGAACGCGGTGGTTACGCACCATTCTGTAAAACGGGCATAACTTTTTGCACAGAGCTCCGTCTGGGCTCCACTATATATCTTTGGAAAGCTATTTCAAAGGCCTATAACTTTCATGCTTTGAATTTTCCCAAATTCCTTACACATTTTCACTAAACCCCTGCTGGAAGACAGACCTTCTGCAAACTTAGTCGATTTTGTCAAATCTTATGCACCTCACTTTCCATCTTGATTCCAAAACAACTATGTTTACCCATACTCATCCCGCTAGGACTTCATATGTCTAAAATATCAAGTTAATACCCATTTAATAAATCCACACCTAGTCCGAATGTATTGGATGTTACATAATTAATAACAACCTTTAAAGTTTAAACTGTTTTGTAACTTGAAGCATTTTCAAGGAAAACTAACAAATGTCTATCAGAAAGTCTAAACAAGGGATATCTTGAGTCCAAATGGATAAACACAAGTCATTTACTTTGAAGTTTGATTCCCCCATATTGTAGATCATGTATAACTTGGTCTCACCATGAAAAGTTTTAGATAGCGCTGTTAAGCTGTTGATGAATTAGTAGACAAGCTATTCGGATGTATGTTAGTGGGGCTTAGGTGAAGGGACAAACAAATATAATCTATTAGCTTCATGGCAGAAAACCAAAATTCTATCTTTATAACTCTCCTCACATACATTTAGATCAAATCAAGAGCCTACTGATTTCTAAGGTAAAAAATAACGCAATTACCTCTTCGTGTATAAATGTATCAAGTTAAAGATCCTTCGTTTTATCCATTTAGATATTCAACTATATGCAGCCTCTCTGCAAGTAAAATGAAGCTGATTGACTGACATGTAAGCGTTATCGAGAGAAATCTCTCTTTTCTTATTCCTCTAAGGGCATGGTTTTTTGAAATGTCCTGCTAGGTTTGATTTCTCGACATGCTTCACCTACATATTACGGAGTATCATT